GAACAGGAGATTTGAACAAGGCAGCAAAAACTTTGAATACCGCCTGAACGAACTCGGAGAAGACTAGGCAACAGTAGGATTAGCAAAAAGAAGACGACGTGATCAAGGTCACATCTTTAATTTTAGGAAAATAAATGGCGAGGGAATCAAAAAGGAACAATCAGAAGTCAAGACGAGACATCTACAGTGACCCCAATCAAAACAACAAGAAGAACCACAACATTTGTGGGTTTAAACTCAATAGAATAGGACATTGGAATGCATAGATTTGGTATTATGGATAGAAGCACGATAACTGCCGCGGAGACTAGAGCTAATTGGCTAACAATAGACGTATTTGCTCATAGACATGAACTTTAAAGTAGCGGCTTGACCATGAAAATTACGCATGGGCTTTAATCTCAAGTTAGTCTCCTATCCAGATTAAGAATCCTGATTTCTAGGGGCCTACTCAGCGAGGCGAGAGTAGGTGTGTTTGAGACAATGTAGGAAATAACTTTTCAAGTAGTACAGATAGGATGACAGAGGTCGAGTAAAATACCTGAACCACGAAGTTAGGAGGCGGATCCTACGGGGCAAGAGGGAGACTGATAAGACCTATGGAAGGACAACTGCGAAACAATATGGCGGACTCTGGTCAACATTCCCAGTACAAGGGTGAAGGGTGTGAGAAAGGAAGCGTGGAGAGTGGAGGGTTTTTATGAAAGCCGCTTAAAAGAGCACATAATACCACATTTAATTAAGAAAGTAACAGTGTTATAGTGAAGGTGTGATATGAGGATATAGGATTGGTGATTAGCCCAGGGGGAAGGAGAGATACCACGATTGTTCAACAGACAATAAGTCAAAAGATCGGTTTCACTTGTCTCTTTGACGAGCTGTTGTGTGGTGCTAAGACTGGCAAGACTCACTGACGAATCTGGAAATGAGCATGCATACAATGGACTCCGGACTGGGTGCGTTCCTCTAAATCTTCCTACCAATATGACCAAGTTGTGAAAACAAGAACAAACAAGTAATCTACAACGCAAGGAGACTGCGACCATACACACACCATCTTGATCTTCATGCCTTAGTTTAAAAAAGTTGGCTTGACTCCATTAATTACAGAGATATGCACGCATATATTAAAAGATTTTTAATGCAAGCGCTGGCTTCACCATTTTCCCATGCCCTCACCGAAGTTTGTGAGCATTAAGTCAACTTTCATCTATTAGCCCTTAACTTGACCATTGGATTCTGCATTACCTTTGGCTAAAAGAACCGAAGGAAATTATGCATGGGCATAGTCATTTCAAAATGTCAAATAGGATAAACCTTATATACATTCAGTGACTCTGATAAGGACCAAATAATATTCCAATATTTTAGATAAATGATCTAAAAGGACATTTTTCCTAGTTAACAATAGCAGAAATAATGCCCAAGTGTGTCTGCCATTAAAATTGCAATTTATTGAATAAGAATTGCTGAGTTCGACTATAGAGGGGTGTGGGTAGGATGCTTTGCTGACAGCAACAGGTAAATGAACGTTAAAGAGCTATAAAATATGAAATTAGTTTATTAAAGATGAAGGGTACATATTTTGTTATGTTCTTCACCTGGTGTCGCGTCATTCCTCATATATAACGGAGGGGTACTAACTTTAAACCCTAAAAGACGTATAGAAATTAAACTACGAATTATTTTGGTTATAGTCCAGCTCTTACGGCCAGGATCAAATATCCGTCTGACCATATATTATTTAACTTAATTTATGTACATGCAAATATATGATTATGCCAAAGACCATGCGCATATGTACATGATAACCACATGAAATAACAAAAGCATGAATAAGGGAAGAGGAAGACCCCCAAACACCCGAGTATGTCCGCATTGTATTGGTGATAATGTGTCTACACTTAGATAAACTCAATCCCTAAGCGACATGTGTTCATGCTTATGTACTAAATCACTTACCTCGGCTGTGACGCACAGGTGTTTGGGGCTGTTGGTCGGAATGGAATGCATGCAACCTTCCACCAGTCTGCCGTGAAGCTGAGCTGGTGCAAACTGGGGAACGCAGACGGCATCGCATCTGCCTAATCAGTGTCGATCGAAAGGTCGGTTGGCCAGTTGATGGCCAAGCTACATTAGCCAAGACCGAGGAGCTAATACCTGAACTTGGTCAGCCAACAGAGCCGAGCCAATGTGAAGGTGGACTTGGGGCCAGCCTGCAGGTGGCCAGCTGCAGACCTTCGCTGCTACCGGCCGATTCTGTAGATTGCAGACTACAAAGCGAGGACACGTTAACTAGCGAGGGTGAGAAGATCAGCAATCACATGGACACTCAGGCAGAGGAGGGCCAGACGGAGCAGGCGTACGGTAGAAAAAGAAAGAGGATAGTAAGAACATTGGCAGGTGAGCATTTCCTCCGTGTCCGGCTTAATTCTTTTTTATCAACTACTTTCTTCCTCCTCCGGCCGGACAGCAGCATCTCAGTAGCCATGGACCTCTACTAGTTCTTGGAGAGTAGAGCCAGTAAGAGCGTGACACCAAAGTGAGCGGGTCATACGGACCCTGGCTCCGCAAATGGATGTACTAGGATCCTCTTCTATTCGACGCTCATGCAGGATGGCCGTCTTGTCTTTGGATGTCCAACCAAGAGACGATTTGGATGGGGATAAGAATAGGAGATGATCATTTAAGGGTCAGGCGCGGAGCTGTTAATTCGGGAAAAGTGAAATGGTCGACGTAAACTTCGAACACTGATCATGAAGTACTATTCCAGGACATAGAGTGTCGATATGAAACCTTGTCATGTCAGGTGCGTTCAGTGAAGTTAGGGGGAATCAATCTCATTAATCATTAATGATTATGCATTTAAGTCACCATAATAATGCCCCCAAGAAGCAATTTCGTGTAGGAGTAGTCTTGACAAGAAAATGGTTCATTGAGGAAAATGAATTCTCATCAACTCCATACGATTTCTACTCTTTAGTTTCCATCTTTGAAGTGAGTTGAGTCATACTGCCCAATTGGGTCTGGCATTAAAATTGCAATCTACTAAATAGTGTAAATAGTCTCGAAACCCTAATCTAATACGAATATACTAAATAAGAATTGCTGAGTTCAACTAGAGAGGAGTGTGGGATCTTGCATGCAGATGTTACTCATTTTGTCGAAGGGCAACAGGCTTATGGCGTTTAGCACTAACTACATTTTGTTGGTTTTCAATGCGTAAAGGGCGTATGATGCAAAAAAGTTGACTAGTCACAGGATCTCTTGGCACAATGGACCTTTAATACTGGCGTATTACTTTGAAAGACATAAGCAGTGCATGAAAACCTTCTTTCATGAAGTATTAAATTTACTGGAAAGATCTTCATGTCATCAGAAGTAGATAGGATTGCAACCGGTCACCCTGCCTACCTTAGCGCTAGGTGAAGTTTTGAAAACCTGGTTTCACTTTCTGATGATGTTCATCACAGTGCATTCGAAAATTCAAAGGTGATATTGTTCGTCTTGAATGAGCAAAGTCCGCTAATGAGAAGGATAGTTTTGGAGTTCTGTAGACTACTTAATAGTGATAAAACCACCTAGTTATCATATGACATCTAGTTTTGCACATGCGTAAAATCTCTCTATTGCCCATTGAAGAGAAAGCTGCCATCTATAAGGGCTTGCACCCAGTTTTTCCTAACCCCTTTACTTATTATAAATGTTGTTGTGATGATTTTCACTTCACATACAAGTGCATAATGAAGAGATTGGTATTGTTGGGATTACTTCCATTTCGAGTAGAAGTGTTGGGTGAAGAGATTCGAAGGTCGGTTTCACCAGA